ACTTAGATTTAATATACTTTAGCATATTATTTTTTTCGCCTGGGTCATGACATAAACGCAATTTATTTATTTATTTATTTTATCAACAAGAGCAAGAGTTAACAGAAAAACAAACTTCCCAACTTTGTGTAAACCTTAAAGAAGCTGGTGCGGACGCGTTCTCATGGTTGTGTGTACCTTTGGCACTTTGCAGCAGCATCCATGACCACACAAACTCCCACTGCTTCATGAAGCTGCTGCAGGGGCAGCTGAAGGAGACGCTCTTCCAGTGGCCAGACAGCAAGTCACATGGAGATATGGTTCAGAAATCTCAGAGAATTCTCCAGGAGAACAAGGTCGCTTACATCAGCGGTAAGAAACACTCGGTGACCAGATCTTTTCTTAATGGCTTGTCATGGTATCAGACTAGCATCCTCATGCTGCTTTAAGAGCTAATAACCGTGTTGCATCTTGTGTGAGATGCTGATGCACCACGCCTCTGAAAAATCCCATCACTTCGGTTACAAGTGTGCACAACACTGTTAAATCTGTCATCTTTCCCAGCGCTCAATTATATCCCCGATCCTAGTTGTGCAATGGTGAATGGCTCCCGCAGGAATTCACAGATGGTTGCAGTTTTACAGCGAAACGCATTCCCCAACCTGCTGAGTCATTCCCCAGAGAAACTGGAGTCCAACTGGGATGTCTGGTCTCAGAAGAGTGATTGATTGATTGATTGATTTGTTGGAGTTTTGCTTCATTCCAGTGACATCCCCCCTCTTAAGTGTGTTCTTTGTCCATGTGTGTTTGTGTGTTTTAGACACCATCGGTCTGCATCGCGTGGAAAACGTCAGCCACACAGAGTGTGCGGTGAGTTTGCACCTGTACAGCCCTCCGTTTGAGACCTGCCAGACCTTTGACCAGCGAACAGGACATAAGAACACCGTCAAGATGACCTTCTGGAGCAAATACGGAGCAAGAACCCCATTTGTAAGTGACTTTTTGGGGGGCTTATTTTCATTTATTTTAGTCTAACCCTAACCCTGTGTACATAAGCATAAAAAATGAAATATTAAACTATTTTCTCAGCCAGTGGACAGACGACATATCATTCGAATGATGTCTACAGGTTAACCTTAGCAAGCACAAAAATGACCATATTTTTGTCAATAAGACAAATATTGTGCTAAAGTTTGATATTGTAGTAGAGCATGCTAGCAGGTTGCACTAAATGCTTGAGGGCCCACACGATTTTATTTTCAAGTTTGCACCAAAACAACCATAATCTCGCCATTTCTTAACACAAGGTGCTCTCAGTTTAAAACATCTGGCATGAAACGCACAGTGTGATGTGGATTCCTTCCATTCTGTGCACATATTTTTTGCTTACCCGACACAAAGACAGACAGGAAAATTACAGACCATAAAAGCGAACACGCAGACTTTTCCACACCCCTAAAACGTCCTCAGAGGAAGCAGGGTTTCTTCGTTCGTTTAAACAAAGCCAACCAAAGCAGCAGCCCATTAAATATCATTTCAAGGTTTCTGCAAAAAGCTTTTTTTTTTTTTTTTACTAATTTTGATAGGGCAAAATAATGATGATTAACATATTCTGTCCAATTTACAGGTCCTCACAAATATAGGAGCTAATTTGTAGATAGAAAAAGACATTTTGTCCATTTTGGCCACCCTACCAACAATTAGTAATGTAGCTGTTGCATACTTGACCATAAAACTTTCAAGTTATTTCACTAGATTGCAACACAAAACAGAAAAGATAAGATAAGTAAATGAGCGTGAGCACACAATGAACTTAACCTGACATAACACCCTGAACTCTAAACAAATGAAGAGCTCTGATTTTATGTTTTTTTTCTCCTTTAGGTCAGCTGTACAAATAGAAAAAAATGAAATTTTCATTTTTAAATTTGTCTTTAAACAATTCTGTATTAGCTTAGACATAAATTAAGTAAAGGCTGTAACATGTATGTGTAATATCAAGCTCAGTCTATCTCCATGTGTTTTTTCTCTCTTTTTTTAGGAGACCACAGTGTCACAAGAAAACAACTAGAGGTCACCGAGCGAAGCGTTGCACAACGTCGACGCTTGAGTTTGAAATGGCGATTCGATGCAACCGATTCAAAGGAAAGTGCTGCAAAATGCAAAAAATGTGAACCTACAACTACACAACCCATTTCAAACTTAGGAGAGGGCCGGTTCAAAAGGACAGTGCGCTAATTAGAACGGCTTTATCGCTGCCCGGTGCAAACTTGGCAAATACTGATGAGCACGGGACGAATGCATGAATGGGCTCGGACATGGACTGAATCTGCCTTTTGTTTGCTGGGCCTGAAGAGAGCCTTTCCCAAAAACAACATTCCTGTCTGTCCACGACCTGTCTAACCACACTTTCATGGTCAAAATAATAGAGCTTTAGCATTTTAAAAAAACAGGAAGCATTGCTATTTTAGTTTTCTTTTATATATATATATATNTATATATATATTCAATATAAATTGAAACCAGTTCTGTAATCAACAGTTTTGTTCTCAATGATGCATTTTTAGCTGTCTTTACTGTCACCACTCAAAATTGTCTCAACTGTCTGTTGAAAACTGTCAAAGAATGTGACATTATCTGTACAGTTTGTCTGCAAAAGGTTTGCTGTTTGCATTAAGTAAGAAATGTAAAGCTTTAGAGTCGAGTTGTTTTTAAAAAGTGTGATGCTTGTAATTTATTCGCAGGATGTCCCGTTCGCTAAGGACGTTTTGTAAACCAGCAAGCTGAAATACCAAGAAGAGTACTGTGGAGAGACTATTTTATATTATTAGGAGAAGATGAGCTTGGGCGAAACTTTTCTCAGGATTTCAGTAACTTTTGATTGCAGCTGTGTTTCTACAGTCAATAATTTGTCATAGTGTTGTCAATTAAACACCATTTCTGTGTTGATGTAATAAATTTGTGCATATATAGAAATAAACATTAACGTTTTACAAAAACTCGTTCTGTGTTTTCTGTAGATGATGTTTATATTAAAAAATATTAAGCAATAAAGCTCAATAAATAAAGAGAAACTGCATTTTTTTTGTGAATGCTGCAAGCTGAATAACTACTGAAAATTGCTGAAGAAGCTAAAACTGATTCAATACAGCAGAACACTAGCTAAAAGCCAAATGTAGCAAAACATTGCATAAAAGCCAAAAGTAGCTAAATATGCGCTAAATGCTTCAAGAAGCTTGATAAAAGCTAAAAGACACAAAACAAGCTTAAAGCAAAAAGTAGCAAAACATCTAAAAGCCTAAAGTAGCTAAACATGAGCTAAATGCAGCAAAACCCTTGCTAAAAGTGGCAAAACACTATGAAAGTAAAAGGCAGTGAAACTAGCTTAAACCAGAAACAAACTTGCTAAAAGCTTAAAAAAACAAACAAACAAACAAACAAACAAACAAATAAATAAATAAATAAATAACGTAGCTGAAAGCAAAAGGTAGTGAAACATTGTCTTACAGGAACATACTTGCTAACAGCTAAACGTAGCAAAACATTAGATGAAAGCAAAAAGTAAACATTAGCTTAAAACAGCAACAAGCTTGCTAATAGCTAAATGTAGCAATTCTACCAAATGGCTGGTTAAAAATTTGAAGTAGCAAAACAGCTGAAAGTCATGTTAGCTATAGCATCAAAAGAAAATATCAAATGAACTTAGCATTTTGACAAATAAATGGCTAAAATAGCACAAAGTATGCAAAAGTAGTTAAACTGGAAAGTGCAAAACTAAAATTCAGGTAAACAACATGAATGCTGAATCAGCACTCGTACAACAAGAAGATAAACACACCAGATGATAAATTCCTCAATTTCGTTTTCTTGCTGAATGAACTGTTGCTGAATGGCTGTAAACGTTTATTATTCACTGATAATTACTCCTATAAAAATGTGAGTAAAGCTGCGGTTTATTAAAAGATGACTCATGTCTGGAACAAGTCGAGCACGTAAACTTTAGCTCTCTAAAGTGCACTACAATTTGTACTTTGATTTTAAGGAACTATTGATTAGCTGTTCTCTTGACCAATAAATAGATTGCAATAATGGCGCACTGATAACAGTATTTGAATAACAGACTTCCCTGTCTGTACAAAGTTGGCATTTCTCTGGCAGCCAAACAACATAAACCTGTCCCAGTATGGATGTATTAGAAACTGAATTAGAGAGATAAGGGAGCTATTGAAGCGAGCATGGGGGCAACAATTTATTTCTCTGATTAAACTGATACTTTAGCTTGTCTTTAAATTTAATTTCATGTATCTTGTTAGACTGTTTTAATTTTTGTCATTGAACACAAAGAAGGACTAAAAAGCTTGTGAAAGATTATTTTAATCCCACTGAGATCACCAATATCTTTTCAACTAAGCACGCATCTTAATGGTTCTTTATTATCTTTAATTACACAATATTTATTATACTTTTACAGCCAAGACTGGGCAAAAATAAATCATGTTTTCTAAATGCATGCAGATTTAAGAAATTGAACCCATTGTTTCTACAAATGGACACGTGAAATGCAAACACAATTCATTAGAACTGGAACATATTTTGTTCATTTCGTTTTCACTTTCTCATCACAAAATACTTTTAACCTCCCGGCAAAAGCACAGCACTCCGGTGAGGTGAGTTTGTCTCGGTCCTCAGAGGGTTTCTGTGTACCAGGTCAACCATGGCATGGCCCTCAGCCAGAGTTACACAACAATGAACTGAAAGTTCAGATTGGCCCAGCAAAAAGCTCTGTGTGATTTTAGAGCCTTATCCACAAGAACTTTATCTTCATCTGTCAAGAAATTATACTTAAGGTGATTTATTGACCATTTGTCAGCTCTTGGAAAAACTAATTACCAGTAAAACAACTGTGTCGACACCTATTTGACACAGCAACAGTCCATCTAACCAAGTCTTACAATCTTAAATCCAGCCAAAAAATAAAATAAAATAAAACATTTTTAATCTTGTTTTGATACTAATATACTAAGAAARAGCAGAATGCGTTAGCCTGGAAATTTTTCTTATTTCAAGAAGTCTTACTAAGACCTATTGTCTCTTACTGTACTGGCAGGTTATTTTACTTAATTTGAGAACAAGCAACTCAACACTTTTTCACCGATTTAAAGCCCTGGAAAGGCATCACCGTACCAATCTAATATTAAAGTTTGACAATATGATAGTGGAAATGCTCAAATAGACAATTTTAAAACTTTTTAATCATAGAAAACGATCTACTGTTGAGCAAAATATACAGTGACTTTATCCAATCCAACAAAAAAAAAATCCAAACTTAAAACATTTAGTATTTGATAGATTTATCTCGTTACAAAGAATAAAACTCAAGGAAACTGCAGAAGCTCAAGGCCATGAGCTTAAGGTTTTACTGACATTATGTTTCAAATGTAGGAATGTGTTGCATTTTTGTTTCTTTTGAATGAGTGTCTATAAACTTTTTAATGTGGAACATTTGTCTGAAGGGGGCACCTGTCAATGGGTCCAGGAGAACACCTCTCTGCCAGACCCTGCAAGGCTGAACCACTTCTGTCGCCTGCACTGAAAGTTCCCATCCTGCCCGTCCAAACTTTTTGATTCCCTGCCTTCTACCTCGACCACTTTGCGTCATGATTGTTGAACTTTCGTTTCTCAACACTGTCTTTCATCTGCTCATCAGCCAAAGCTGCACTCAGCCAGTCAACACCACCCCCCACCCCCCACCCCAGCATGCCTGCACTCCCAGTACGTTCTGTCATTGTTCCATCAAACCGCCTCTCGTTCTCTGTGTGCCTCCTTTGTATTTTTTATTTATTTAGTTTCCACTGTCCGCTCAGCTTTTTGTTTTTATTATTAAAATGCTTCAGGTTTTGGGTCCTTTTCCTCACCGCCACATTCGTTTAGAATTATTAGCCGTGTTTAATCACAGTATATATTCAAGTTGGTGATTTAATAACCGACTGTTTTTATGAAAAATGTGTTGCTCATTGAAATCTTGTCACTTGTAACCAAACTTTCACCATTTTAGATTAAAATTAAACTCTTTTTTTCAGCTTTTGTCCGCATCCCTGTAATGATTCTACTTAATAAGTTACCATATCTGTGCACCAGCGGAAATGGATATAATAAAGCATGATTTTACATTGTTCTTTGGCTGTAACCTCTGGCTTTACTCACAGGTGTTGGTGGTGTGATAACAAACAGCCAGAGCTGTAGAACTCTCTACAACACCACGAGAAGCAGAAAAGCTTTGATAATTTATTGTACTTATCAAAGCAGCCTCAGAACATTGATAGTGAAACCCTCATTGATGCAACGAGAGTCCAAACGCTGCCGTCTGACCTGTATTAATAATTTTATTTTTATTACTCACGATAAAGCYGTCACTCTGCTCTGTCAGGGATTTGTAGCTTTTTAGCAACATTGCAATAATTAAAATCTAATTTGCCATGCGAGGTAAAAAAACAAAAAACAAAACGTTTTTTTCTTTTTTTATGTAAGTAAAATAAAAAATAAAAATGATCGAGCTGAAGCCAGCAGCAGCTCTTTTAGCAAACAGAAGCACTTTATTACACCAGCTTTTATCAACTTATCACCTTCGTCATTATGCAAGTGTCACKGAAAGGTTCATGCTTTTGGTTTATTTACATATAAATAATTTGTGATAGAAACCTTTCCCTCACAAAACAATTTTTTTTTACATATTTACACATTAAGAGCAATATTTCTGTAAAGATTTATGTTTGACTTCCTGGTAAAAAGATACTGTATATCAGGTGATTAATGTTCTGACTATCCTCTCATTTCTTAGATTATTTTCTTTGATGTTTGATTCTTACTGTGCCTTTTTTATAATTTGATTTGTGAGGACTGATGACAATTTTGGAAGCCATTTTTGGGTCAACAACTCACTCCAGTGAGGTAAGAAGACAGAGTTTCTGCAGAGAAGTGGTGTCTTAATGAAATAAAGTGTGTAAAAGTGACTGCCTGTGAGCTGCACACTGTTTTCTTTAAAATTATAGGCTGAGGAAACAAATTCCAGCTCAACATCACCTGAACCTGTAGACCAGTAATAACTTCTTTCTAAAAGCCAAGAAGGATTTTATTTTTGTTTTACCCACATGAGTTATTAGTGAAACGATGCAATATTCTACCAGGATGATGACATAAAGCAAACGTCACAAAATGTATTAATTCTACACATGGTTTTAATTAAACGATGAAAAACATCTGACAAGGTCAAGTCTTACTTTTAGAACTGTACCTTCACCTTAAGCCCAATACACTGCAAAAACTGTCCATCTTACCAAGTTTTAAAATCTTATATCCAGCCAAAAAGTCTTTTTGATCTKGTTTTGAGACTGATTTACTAAACAAGAACTGATTGTGTAAGAATAATAATCTTGTTTTCAGAATGTGTAAGATTATTTGTCTTGTTAGCCTGAAAATTTGACTCAAATTAAGTCAAACATTTCTGCCAATGGAGTAAAAAAATTTTACTTGGTAAGATTCTTGAAATACTTGATTTGACTTGATTTTTTTCTTTTTCAAGAATCGTACCAAGTAAAATTTTCTAACACCACTGGCAGAAATGTTTGACTTAATTTGAGTCAAATTTTCAGATTAGCAAGACAAATAATCTTACACATTGTGAAAACAAGATTATTATTCTTACACAATCAGTTCTTGTTTAGTAAATCAGTCTCAAAACAAGATCAAAACGACTTTTTGGCTGGATATAAGATTCTAAAACTTGGTAAGATGGACAGTTTTTGCAGTGTAGTCAAATAGAATATCTGCACATTTTATCAACGTTGGTTATTTACCATTTTTAAACTGTAACCACGCTTCTGCCATCGCATCCAGATGAGTAATGAAATGAACATATTTGTGCAACTTTTCATCTGAGAAAGAATTAATGAATTTGTGTACAGACAAAGTTTTATAAGTCGTGATGACTTTTGTTGTAACTGTAGACAAACAGGATTAAGCTTGTCGGCAGAACGTATTGCAGGCAGCCTAAAACTCGAAGAGGAGCTGTGGAAAATTACCCAAAATGCTTGCAACAAACCTTTCAAGGACAAAAATCTCATGTCATTGCTGTTTTTTTTTGTTTGAACAAACAAAAAAGGACAGGACAGAAAACTCACTTGTGCACGTATCTGTAAAAACAGCTTAATTTTACCCGTTTTTAATAAATAAATAAAAGTAACAATCCTCATTTAACAGCACTCATTTAGCTGAGAATTTCATTAGAAATGACAAATAAACTGAATTAAAAAAAACTTCAAAGGTGCAACATTTATTTGAAATATACATTTGTGAGAATTTTAAGAGAACTCTTTATATATCAAGCTTCAGTTTGGAAGCTGGAGGAAAAAAAAAGCTTGAATGGAATGTTGGGCAATAGAACAGACGGAAAATAAAAACTAGCTGACCAATTCTCATCTGCAGGCAAATGTTTGTCTGACCCCTGCTTGTGTTTGGTGGCCACAGTGATGACACCTGCAGTCTATGAAAAACAAAACAAGAAATTTGTTTTGACTGTTTCATTTTATACTAACTCAGCACCTGCAGAGATTAAACAAGTATATGTAAGACTGACCTAATTTCAGGGGTGTACCACCAAAATTCTGGGACTAGACACTCTTGATGTCAGTGGGCCTCTATCCATGCCAGTGCACGAGGTGCATAAGCAAATAAATAAATAAATAAATAAATAAAACAAAATAAAAAAGGGGATATTCTTACATAACTAGGGTTTTAAGCTACAATCAGATCAGATTATATTGATGAGTGGTTCTTTCATTCACCAGTTGAATTGATGCATTTGGCCTACCTGTGTTCAAATACCTAAAACATTATGCTTCATCTGGTTTGTGTACTAATGTTGTGATCCATGACACTTGAGCAAATTTTGATTTAAAAACATTTATTCTGGTTTTAAGGTATTTTGAAAAAAAATTAATGGGCAAAATGAGAGATGGAAACACATTTGATGAATAACTTTTGAAATTTTAAACATTTGCAAAAATTTAGCCAATCAGTGATGAACAGCGTTCTGACGTCGCATTTTGGTGTCAGCTGGGGCTGCTTGGAACCACAATGAAGTAGGTACTAAAAAAAGTGCCGATTCCATGGATCTGGCCTAATGGAAATGTCTTGGAACCGTACCGAACCGTACCGACACTACACTAAGTGGCACTAGTGGAAAAGGGACAACTGCACTGGATGCGGCCTCCCCTAAGATATATAAATCTAGTGGAGCCAGGTCCAGTAGGACTTACATGGCTGTCGTGGGTGTTGTTCTGATGGAACCTGTGATGCTCAGGCAGGCCATTCGTTGCACATGGGTGAGCATCACTCTTGTCACCCCAACTTGAACTCGAACCCACCACACTAAAGCAGCATAGGGGGCGCCCCATAGCATGGGGCGGACTATGGCCGTGTAGATCCACCTGATAACCTTTGGGGTAGCACCCCAACGACTACCTGCAATTCTACGGCACTGGTAGATTGCACATTGCTGCCTTCTTACACTTTCCATTTGCATGTCTTTTCCAGTTAAGCTTCCTGTCTAGACAGACACCCAAGAATTTAACTTACTCTGACAGAGAGAGTTCTACACCCTCCGACTTAGGAGGTAACACTTCCTTGACTTCTTATGAGTGAAAAGAATTCTGTCTTGTTTGGGTTGACAGATAGTTCCTGCTCGCGGCACCATCTSGATACTTTGTTTAATCCCCTTTGCATTAGGTTACATTCAGTACCCAGGCAGAAGCCTTCTATAAGTATGACCAAGTCATCTGTATACCCTTGTGTATGGAGTCTAGATCCATTCATCTCATTTAGTAAGCTGTCGACAACCAGGAGCCAACACAGGGGTGAGATTACTCCTCCCTGTGGGCAGCCCCATCTGAGGTTTACGGTTATCAAACAGTCCCCCAGAGTTGAAGATGCTTTCCTCGTCCGAAGCATGAAAATGAGCCAATTTGTAGTTGTCTCATCCACGCCTTTGCTGACAAGTGCTCTTTTTATAGCTTCTACAGGCACATTGTCAAATGCCCCCTGTATGTCCAAAAAGCAGCCAAGCGCATATTGTCCACGTACYAGACTGCGTTCTGTTCTCAAAACAACATCATATAAGGCTGTTTCTGTAGAAAGACCTGGCTGATATTCATGTTGTTCTGGACTTAAAGCTGATAGCATTAAAACACCATCCCTTACCTCCATTCCCTTCAGCAGGAAAGATGTTAAGCTGATGGGTCTGAAAGATTTTGCTTCTTTATATGTTGGTTTGCCAGGTTTGGGCAGAAAGACAACCTTTGCTGTTCTCCACCCAACTGGTACATAGCCAACTGGTACATAGCCATTTGCTAGACAAGCAACATATATTCTAGTAATTGTGTCCAGAAGCAATTCCAGTCCACCTGCACTAATAAGAACCATTGTGTTGTATCAGAACAGATAGTAATGGCGTAGTGATACTTACATAATTTAACATGCAGTTTTCTTCAAAATGTCAAGATTCACTAAAATTTATAAAGACAAGAATATAAAATGTAAGTTAAACCACAAAGTTTATTATAAAACATTTGTAACTTAAGCTGATTATCTGTCAGTGGTTCCCAAACCTTTCAGTATTTGACCCACAAAATACTAGTAGCAGAGAACTGTGACCCCAGCTGTTGTTGGTTTATGAACACTGCTTTCACGTCAAATAAACAAGAATATTCATTATGGCATTTTTGTCCATTTTAAACACACTAACCTTACTCTTTTGCAAATGCAAAAAATGTTGTACTTTTTAAATACAATCAAGTCAGAAAATCTTTTCAACAAGCAGTGAATTTTATTAAACTGCTGGATAACGTTTAGATTGCTCCGACAATAATCTGGATGACAACAAATATGAACTCAGATTTGTTTGAGGTTTTGTAAACCAAAACATTTCTTATCGCACTTTAAGTGTAAACAAAGTCTCTAAAGTCACTGCTTCTCCTGCTCAACTCTAAAAAATCAAATCAAATACTGAAACACATCGGAGGTGTCCTATAAAAACTAATCCTCTACCTAAAAACAGAAAGTGAGTAAAAATCACAGAAGTGTCATCATGAGTTGGTAGTTTGATCAGGACTCATCGTCTGAGCGACCCCACGGAGACCTGGTGTGTTTCAGAGCAGCCCTCCCAGGAGAGGTTTTTCTCTCAGACCCTTTTGACCCCGACTGGCTGACTGTCACCAGCCTTCCCATTCCACGGCCTCTTGACCCCGCTGACCCCACAGACTCTGCCCTGTCGCTAACAATCTCACTCAGGCTGTCAGGCGATCCGCCGTGAGTCCCGTTGCTCTGGGCGACGTGACTGTTGTCGAAGCCGTTTCCAYGGGAACTGCTGCTTCTCTGAGATGTGGTTTCACCCCACCGGCTCGTCGGTTGGGTCTGGAAGGTTTTCTCAAAGGAGACGATGTTATCGAGGGACTTGTTGCTACGGAAACTTAGCTCAGACCCTGAGTCCGGCTGAATATCAGGCCTTAAATATTGATGCTCCCCTTCTTCATCCACAACAGGGTCTGGTCTATCTGTTGCAGCAGGACTAAAGGTCACATCTAGTAGTCGGTCTTTRCGTACGAGTTCCCTGAGAGGAGGTGGAGACCTGTGAGTGGGGCTGTTTACTGCTCCACCAGGGAGATTAGGCACCTAAAAATAAAAAAGGTGGAGGTTTGCTGTAAACAAYGAKGTTRTCACTTTATTACTGACACAACTGTTTACTAGTAAACACACAATACAATATGAAATGCTCAAATCCTGAGGTTACTGTCATACTTTTAGTTCTGAGTAGTAATGTTTAACCTCTTAACCCCAGGGGTGTTTCTTCCTGTTTTTGCTCAAAATACCACACTGAAATGTAACTGAGTGTATCTCAGCATTTACAAACTCTACTTAAATAATCTTGGTAGCAAAATAAAGCTAACACTTGGGAGATTTTATTAGAAGTGTAAAACAGATGCTGTAGTTTTAGAGATATTGAGGATGGAACATAATTTTGTACAAATGTTTTCCCTCCCGTCTGAATAATTTTTGCATTTGACAGTATAGAACCTATTTAAAACCATAATGAATCAAGCTAAAAGCTCTCGGAAACCATAATTCCACTTGTGGACCTTAACTGTGCAAAGATTCATGCTGCTAAAATTAACTGCAGCAAATTTACAGAGGTTTTAGCAAAGAAACAATGTTGCATTTTGTCATTCTGCACAGGRCAGATRCCATAAATAAATGTAAAGAAATCTGAAGTTTTTAATTGCAAAAGTTATTTATTTATTCTGACCTGCCTGAAAAGACTTGTTATTGAATGTTTGTTCTTTTGAAAAATGATCCAAACATTTATTTTGTCATCATATATATTATATAAAATAATGAGAAATTATTTGACTTCAGTTGGACCACATTCACTCAAAATCAAGAAAAAGAAAACTTTCAGCACACTTTATTACATATTTTGGTATCTGCTTTGATTTTCTTTAAAAACAAATGTCAACTTTTTTTTCCTTTACAGATTTGTTGTAATGTATTTACAGTTTGTTTACTTTCTGATTTAACTGCTTGTTGAATCACTACTTGCTTGAACTGTGTTTGGTGAATGTAAATATAGTTTCCTTGAGCTGTTATTCTTAACTTAATATTGATACTAAACACGTCAAGGTTCTACTGAGCCCGCGAGGGGACATGGGGGATTTTTTTTTTTTTTTGCGTTTCCTCGCAAAAGTCGTTAAACACTGTTGTGCCTGCCGGTTTATTAACAAACTCACATGTTTACCATTAGCGAGTTAGCCTACTGCTTTAATTCAGCTTCAGAATGAATATATCACACAGCCATGCATGGACGTATGTCATATGCTGATATTTTAACACAGTGCAGCCACGCAACATCAATGTCAATTTCACGAACTTGTGGCGGCACATCCTGTTTTGGTAACCGGATATTTCAAAATAAAAGTCTGATTTAATTCAGTTCATWTACAAATCAAACTTTTGCGTGGGAAAGCAAAAACAATATTGAGAGGAAACGCAAAAGTATTGCGAGGGAAAGCAAAGGTATTGCGTGGGAACCCAAAAGAAAAGAATCCCCCCCATGTCCCCTCGCGGGCTCCGTAAGGTTCAATTTACAGATCTTAGGTTAATATAAGTTAAAAGAAATAGAAAACGGGAAATGCCGTTTTGCTGCTCAAGAGGTTAGTTCTACTTGGAATCTAAAAACAAACATGAAAACTAACACAAATCATATGCATCATTTTATCTTCAGTTTCAGTCCTAATGAAAGCACAGAGGTAAAACTATATTCTGTAAAAAGCAGATGTGATATCAAGTCTCTCATTTATACAGCTGCAAACACAATATTTACTTTTTTTCTCGTAGTGATACAATTCTACATAATAAAATACAACTTTAGTTTGTGTTCTGCAAACATTAAGATTTGTCCAGCTGTGCGCCGAGTGTCCTTACCAAAGAGGCAGCATCAGCCTCTGCCTGAACACCCCCGAACGCCCCGACGGCCAGAGGTGCTGCGCCGTCCAGATGTGGTCCCATCGTAGAGGAGAGCTGAGGTTTACCCAGAGGCTGGAAATCTGACGTGTTAATTCCTGCCATTGAAGCTAGCTGACCTAAGCTACACGAGAAAACAATTCATTAAGAACTGCAAATTTGAGCTACTAAGTTAAATATGACAAACTGTTGGCTTTTTTATCAAATATCCAAACCCAACCAAACCATTTTGTTTGGTAGGGTCACATCTGAATGAAATTACAATAAGATCGTACTTTAAAATGCAAGTTTACAAGAAATGAATCCATTATTTTAGAAAATAAACATTTTTGTCATCTTATTCAAAGTCATGAGAGGATATCTGTTTTTTTTGTTTTATAATTTGCCCAAATCATCTTATAGTTGAGCCATCACGCAGCTCATATACTACATGCTCCATGAAGCAATGTTTGTTCACAGAACAAACAAAAAGGACAAACACATGCATAAAAAAACCAAACTGGAAGCACAAAGTGCTACTTTAACATGTAGCATCCTTTGCTAAGAGAATAAACACATTGAATCTTCATAATAAACTTTTCTTCTTGTGTTTTAAAGAAGGACTCATAAGGACATGGGTACTTTATTTCATTAAAGAAAACAACTTTTACGGGAAGGGGAGAATTAGCAGTGACTCCACAAATAAGCACAATGACCAATGACAAATAATGAAACCAAAAGTTCAAGAAAAAGACCAACTCTGAGGACTACCAGTAAAATGGCCACAGTTAAGGTTCGAGGGCCAAAAAAAAGGCCCAAAACTTTTCTGACTACCCACCCAGCATCCTTGAGGAGATCCAGGAAGGCATGGAACTTATTAAACGAGCTCTCGATGCTCTCGAGGACCGCCTCGTCTTCCAGAGCGCTGAAAGCAGGCGGWGCAGCTGCAGAGCCAACGACTGAAAGAGCTTCTGACAGAGAACGGTTGGCATCACGAAGTCGGGCATTCTCCAGCTCATACTGCGGGGAAATGACAAGCCTCTTTAATCAGAACCTATGCAGAGTTAGAGTTTCAAATGCAATTTTAAGAAAATTAAGTCTGATATTAAAGCTCTATTTACTTCTGTAAGCCTCGACTCAGCTTTAAGTCGTGCYCTGCGCTCTTCTGCCAGCCTCAGGCGACACTCTTTCAGCTCCATCTGCAGGGCAAACAGAAGAAAACAGGCTTAAACTGAAGAGGTCCTCAGTCAGCTGTTTAGCTTATTATGTAGTTATAAGCAAAAAGAAAAAAAAATGTTTGAAAAGAGTATTTTATAAATATTTTGTAGTTATTTCTGATGAACTTGTCTGACCTGAACTCGCTCAAAATGTCGTCCCGTGGTCCTGTCCTGGAGAGGAAGAGAAGACGGTCTCTGCTCTGCTTCCACCAACACTTCTCCATCTTCATCACTGTCCTCTTCTTCCACTGAGTCTGACTCCACGGTGACCTTGACTGTAGCTGCACGCTGTTTAACAAACACATGCAGTAGAATCTGTTATAGACGGTAAAACCTAATCCAAATTCATCTGGAAAAAAAACTGCAGTCAATGATCGGAAATAATGCTCCTTAAAACTTTAAGATAGCTTTGCTGTTGAGGTTAGTGATCATTTATGGTGCGTTCACACCGAACGCGATTTCAGCGTCAGGAGCAGCAGGTTTACATGCAAAGTCTATGGTGGACGCGCTTCAAGCAACGTCGGGAAGTTC